TAATTTAATTTTTAAATTTTTTTTTTCTCATTGTTTTTCGTATTTTAGGTTGGGTTGCGCGCTAGTTCACAAATTCCAACAGATTTACGGGCTTATGCGATGTGCTTATTGACAACAATGCCATCTCAATTATTGATTCCATATCTACATCCACGTTTTTATTCATTACATAACCTGCCTATCGATGTAAGAAACTTGAATTAAAATGATTCCTGTGAATTAAAGTTTTAATATAAAAATGTAATTGGATTTTAATACAAATATATATTTATTTTAATAAGGCTGGAACATATGGACCCGATGGAATAATTATGCCACCGCCTTTAAATTTAAGTAGTGAAAAATTAGAACGTCATGGAGCATATTTATTAGAGGATGGCCAAAATATTTTTATCTGGCTTGGTAGACAAGTAGTTCCTCAATTGTGTATGGATTTATTAAATGTTCGTTCATACGAAGAAGTCCGTTCTGGCAAGGTATGTTATATGTCAGATATCATTTTTATAATTTAAATAATATTAGTATTTAACATATATAATTTTTGAAATATAGGTTACCTTATTACAATTAGACAATTCATTCTCGCAACAAGTGAATGCAATTATTGGTAAAACTCGAGAATCACGGCGAGGTGTTTATTATCCTCATCTTTATATAGTAAAAGAAGATGGTGGGGATCCATCATTACGATTATGGTTCTTGTCACACATCATAGAAGATCGTACAGATACAGTAATGAGTTATCAACAGTGGTTAGGGCATTTGAAGGATAAGGTAAGGTGGAACAAATTTAAAGAAAAGGATAGATTAAATTCTTAATGTTACTAACCAACAACTTTTTTTAATATTCTTGCTATTTTTATAGGTTAACTCTGGTTCATTTTAATTGATAGAATAAAAATAATAAATTTGTTATTTTATTGATATATATATTTACTTTTATTAAATCTATTTGTTTGAGTATTGTTGCTTAGATTGTTATATATGGACTTTTTTTTCATTAGGTAATCTCTAGATAAATTTGTGGGATCATTAAGATAGACGTTTGAATTATAATAGGAAATGAAACCATCAAATTATGTTGTAGATACAAATATTTTCCTCCTTTTTTTTTTTAAAGCAAATTTATACAAAATTTGATTCATTTTATTTTTAGCGTTTTTTTTTTGATAATAAAATTTAATATTTTTTATTGTTACAATTATATATATATTAGTTTAAATCTAGGTGTTCATGTTATATGCAAATACAAAATTAACAATTATATATTGTAATTATTTGACTAGTATTGATGGAATCGCAATGTTTTTATTTAAAATTTTGGTTAATTTATAGAATAAATAATTTATCCCCTCCAAAATTTAACAATTTAGTGTTTAATGTTTGTTATGTATAATTTATAATAGTCAATTGTAGTATCTTTTGTTTAATGTTTTTATTTTAGAAATTATTGAATAATACAATCTTTGTCTTTATCAGGACGTTTTTCCTTTTTTAATTGGTTTGGTTCATTTTCTTTACGAGTTACAGTATTATCATCTCTAATTGCCAGCCTATTCTTTGCATCCTCATTGCCATGAGATGCAGCCTATTTCGAAAAAAAATATAATATAATGCATACTTAGTTAAACTAATTAATATGTATTAACATATATTAAAACATACCTTCGTATACCAAATCATAGCAACGCCAGGATTTTTAGGAACATGAATTCCATTTTCATGAAAATAACCCATAGCAAATTCAGCCGTGGGTAAACCTTTTAAAGCAGCTTTTTCAGCATGTTCATAAGCAAGAGCTTCATTTTGTTCTAAATCTTCGGCACCACAAAGATACCATTTACTTAAAGCCATATCAGCTTCAACATGACCTTTTTCAGCAGCTCTTTTATAATATTCAACGGATAAACTTGGATCAGGTTGATAACCTAAAGAACCATATTCATAACATTGACCAATTTTAAATAAAGCTGGAACATGACCTAAATTTGCAGCTTTAAATATTAATTCTTTTGCTTCATGATCATCAGGAGCTACAAGTTCATCAGGAACATCAGCTCTATCCCATTCTTTCGCTAATATCATTCCATAAACATAAGCACCATCAGGACAATCTTCATCAGCTTTTGAAGCAGCTTGTTTTAAATATATTAATGATTTTCTATAATCTACTCCTTGTTTAAATTCACCTAACATATATATTAATGAAAGTCTCTATTAAAATAAAAATAGAAATATTAATACAAAAAGATATAATAAAAAAAGATATAATAAAAAATATATATATATATATATAATAAAAAGATATAAAAATAATAAAAAGATATAAATATAAAATATGTAACTAACATACATATAATGCAGCTACTTCACCCTGTACGGCAGCTTTTTTATAAAATTGTATAGCACGTTTATAATCTTCTTTCTTTTCATGATAAAAAGCAACTTTATATTTAGCTTTTGGAAATTCTTTTTTTGAAGAAGTTTGATAAAGTTTGAAAGCTTTTTCATCATTCTTTTCTTTTCCATATAGACCATATTCATACCAAGTACCCTTAATATATAAAGCTTCAGGATAATCACTTTTTGCAAGTAATTTAATCCAATATATAGCTTCTTGAATTAATTTAGTAGTAGTAGCTTCTTCTTGATCCAAATTTTTAGAAAGATTTGAATTACGAAGTTCAACCATATGTAAAAGAAATTTAGCATATTGAATTTGAATAGCAGGATCATTAGTTTTTTTAGCAGCTTCACGATATTTTTGTATAGCACTTTCATCAGAAGCAAGAGTTTTTGAAGTAGCAGTTTGTCTTCTTGCATTTTTTTCATCAATTAATAAACGTAAAGGAGATTTTGACATAGATCTACGTTCAGGATTAGGAGAAGTAGAACCTACATGCCAAGTATTTCTATTTTCATTAGATTGTAAATTATTATAACCAGAAGGGGATAACCTATTATTGTTAGGTAGTAAAGAACTATGTTTATTATAATTTTCGAAAGAATTTTGAGATCTAATTTCATTATTATATGGTATATAATTATGATGATTATTTTGTTGTGAAGGTTGTGAACCCCATAAAGATTCTGGTCTAGAGAGATTTTGTTGATCAAATTGATTTCGATTATGTGAAAATGAATTTAAAGAAGGACCAGTAGATATATGTAAAACTGGTTTTTCAGAACGAGAATGTTCTTGTGGAATATTGGAAAATTCATGATATTGAGGAGATTGTATAGATTGTCTTGGATTTTGAGGAGTTTGTAGATTTGGAGAAAATCTTGGATTCTGAGGAATTTGTGAACTAGCGCGCAACCCAACCTAAAATACGAAAAACAATGAGAAAAAAAAAATTTAAAAATTAAATTA